CCCAGGACTCGAACCCGGACCCGAGCGCACTAACCATGGGGCCACCGTATTCACAAGGAGTGGTATATAAAAGAAATACATTTTATGTAAAGGAACCACATGTGCGCTACTTACGTAATCGAGCCTGCTACTAATGGCTTTGAATACGAAGCTGAGAAACATGGGTTGATCAAGAAAGATACACACTCTAACAAACACCTCCAACACCTCCCGAACCACTTGTAACTCCAGCTCCTGTTGACAAGCAAATAAAACATATCAAAACTTTTGTGTGTTCTATAAAGACATCCCTTAGACAAGATCAAGGAGAATTCTGCTCCTTTTTCATTCAAATTCTTAACGATCGTTTCGAGAAAGAACTAGAAAGGCTGTTAGTCTAGTACCTTTGTATTAATCACGTCTGCTAGGCCAAGAAGAGAGAAATCCAAATACGACTGCACCAGTGAATGCAATTCTTCTCTGAAAATCACAAGAAATAGATGGTTAAAATCAAGACCGAAACAGAGATCATTGAAAACTGATGAGCGGCGAAATATTTTCAATTGCATACGTTCCAGTACTCCTTCCCCTCAGGATAGTTCAAACTTCACCGTCGTTTTTCGATACCACTTACGGGTTTATTTTTTAAATCATAAAAATACTTTCTTGGCTGGCAATTAACCATGAATTTGATATTTTAAACATTAACAAGACATTCTTACCCTGTATCCCCTTGCATGTGCACTTCCTCCACGCGGTATAAGATGATGAACAAGCTGAGAAGACAATCATGATAATAGAATTACTACCAGCCAGAAATAAGCATGAAGCTCATAAGGGAGGGGCATTTTATAAACTACTGAGTCATCAGTAATCAATGTTACCCTCGTAAAATAAAGTCTTATTGTATTATTAGCCACTTAAGAGACAAGAAGAAAGAGTCTCATCGCGCAGTCCCTTGTGTTATTGTTACTCGCTTATTAACAAAAATTAATCAAAAATAACTATTAATACTTAACAGAACGTAACGCCTTGCTAAGCAGTTCTCGTCAACTCATCAACTACTTCGACGAAACAGTAAGGTACTATATGCCCCCTTTATTTATAGAGCTGTCATATTTAAGTGACCCTAAATATCTGCAGTATTTCCACAGAAACTCTTATATTTTCAAAGACAGCGCTGCGGCCAAACAACGGAAGATTCATGCGAAATTTTAAATTTTAGCAGTCTTTGAAGGAAACGTAAAATAGAACAATTACGTCAATACATGTGCATGAAAGGATCTACGTTAGAGAGCAGGGATGGCGCAGTGTTGTGAGCGCTGGCCTCCCACCAATGTGGCCCGGGTTCGAATCTCACCCCTGGCGTCATAAGTAAGCCGAGTTTGTTATTGCTTCTCGTCCTTGCTCCACGAGCTTTTCCCTGAGTTCTCCGATTTCCTCCCTTCGCAAAAACCAACACTTTACAAATTCCAATTCCATCCGGAAACAGTGGCAGTGCCATTGGTTATTCCCATTCAATGTTATGATTCATGAGAAGATAATTCTTGCGATGACCAAACTTACGACCAGAAGTTTACTAAGACAGAGTAGCTATAGACAGATTAAAATAATCGAAAACGAAACAAGGATGGTTAAGATTGGGCAAGATTGACATGGATTGCGAGCGAGAATTCGAAACAAGAAAACTACACGGTATATTTTAGCGGAAGGGCTCCTGTGGTAACTAACTCACCCGTCCAGCAGCGCTCTGCACATGGTAGAATCTTCAAAGAACTGTCCGATGTGATGAACTAACACGGGGAATATCATTATCTGTTTGGACAGGAAATAGTTTGTAAGTGTTAAAGTCTTCAAGATATCTTGATGGCTTAATAATGGTCTTTCAGCTTGTAGCATCAAAGCAGCATAATAGATACAGCAAAAAATTAAGGTAGAAACACACATCATTACAAGTAACTATAAAGAGTGTTTTTTCTGGAATTATCGTTCTCTGTTTTGGATCTTTAACAAATCTCCCAAAGTTTGTATTCCCTCCGCCCCCGGGGACGAAGAAACCCTGATAATTTCAATCTACCCTCCTTCCACTGACACATTTTCTCTTACCAATTGATCCGCATCACAATCTTTCAGGAACCTTGCAAGGACCGGGTGCACTTCAGAGATTAGAAACTTCCCAGCCTAAGGAGAGAAAAGATAGCTTTTAACAGCCCTCCTTTCAGTTTGAGTGAGAACTAGCTTGTTGCAGCTAAGGCTCGGGTTAAACGTCGAACTTCACACCTAAATAGCAATTTGAGTCGATGCAAACGGGTAAAGCTCGACCATTGGGTCAAACGTCGAACTTCATTCGAATTTAGATCGACAAACGCGATCTATCATCTGCTTTAGTGGAGTCAAATGTCGAACTTATCATGATCTTAATTCGCTCAGTTTTAGTTCGCCTCATGCGAAGTTCGACGTTTGACCTGGACCAAAGCGGATTGACCGCCATAAACATTCAGCGTTAAACAACATTCAACAACAGACCTGTTGTGCATGCTGCTGTGTGGTACATGCTCTCGCTGAAAAACTGAAAGCAAACGAGGACAAAGTCAATAAATTGTTACCAAATAAGTCAAATTATCCTCTCATTTTGATTGGTTCTTACTCATAATCAATTGAAGGACAGACGCACAGATGACGACATTAACAGTTTTTTGTTTTTTTTGTTTATTATATAAAGACTAATTCCATGTTGCCGTGCGTCTGTTCAGTAATAGATCACAGAGGACGTCAAAGAGGACGTCGCCTCATGGGTCACTGATGTTCTTACCACATTTTGATGTCATCTGTGACCTATTACTGAACAGACGCACAGCAACATGGAATCAATTTGACAGTCATCTGAGGTAAACAATTGACGATCAGTTTTATAGAAGAAACATTTCTAATATACTGCGATTATCAGTTGAGTAAGGCGGGACGAAAGTTTGGTCACCAAGTTTTAACGTAAAAATCGTCTTGTTGTCACGAGCAACTGGCTCCGTATCCATTGGCAACTTGT